CCTCACCGGAGCCACCATTCTCGGCATGGGTAGGCATTGCCGGATAAATTGGAATTTCTTTGCTTCAGTTTATCCTCGTTTACCGGACATTTTGGCGCTTAATGTATTTATGCCGAAAATTCATTCAATTTTACTCATGTCTAGATTCTAATAACCTTTGCTGGAGAATAAGATTTCATGTACGAATTGGATTTTCTTTTCTTGATGGACTGTTCTTGTCAGTGCTAAAACATATTGCCGACCTCAGGGCAAAGTATAATTGAATAATATTTCGGCCTCTTTAATGCTACAACTTAGTTATTTTTTTCGTATACAAGCAGAGTTTCAAGAGAGTTACACATAATAGTCGGCAAATTTTGTTTTGAGTGTTTATAATCATCTTATTTCTAAGGCTCAATCTAGCAATTTCGCCATATGGTGAATATTTGTATATAAAGAGACCTCCAGTTGCTCCTGAAAATATGCAATATAAGATATGCTACATTCATTTTTCAGATGCAAATACTACAAATAATGTAGAAAAACTGGCTTTCAAGGAATCCGTTAATGTATTGATGTTAGAGTACATTTCATTTCGTAAGTTGGCCTCACAGGAAGCTGTACGGGAATTGTCTTGAAGCTTTGACTGTAGATTTCTACGAATAGATCATTGGCGCAACGATCTGCAACCCTGAGATCTGACGCTGCCCGTCACATAAGCTACAGTCACAGCTCCGAACCAATCCTCCCACAGCTTCCTTTCGCTCGCCTCTTCAAACGAAATGAAAGGTACTCCAACTAGAAATAATACTTGCGGTTGTAGTTACAATTGTATTAAGGTCAGAAGTAGTAGCAGTAGTGGCATTAGCCGGTAATATCGCAGTCATCCATTTTGATTTATTCTACGATCATAATTTTTCTACAATATTGCGTTCATCAGAATGTATAATACTTGAGTTTTTCCACAGATTGTGTGTTCTGGTTGGTGATGTCTTTGAGGCAATCTTCTTTGTTCAGGAGAAAAAATTCTGCGTTTTCGCCATTTCTACGACAGGTCTCATCAGAGCAGGATACCATTCTCACAAATAATCCAACAAAACTTCAGTTCAATTTAACAATGTTGCAATGCTCTGATGCTGCATGCGAGACATGTCGGACGAAAGGTCAGCACATCGTGGCCAGAACGAATCTACTGTCGTCTTCTGGTGGTTTCTCTTCATCGCTCACTTTCACTCGAAACAGCAGTCAACTGAATGACTTTGTTCATTTTTATTCGTTAAACATGGCCTCGTCTCCTTATCCTCTCATATTGAAAATAACTTGTTCATGTGGGCTCTTCTTTTGTCTTCAGGAAGGTGCCAATTTGCCGGAAAACCGCTGAAAAGTATCAGCACTATTTGCATCCTTATTCTCAATTGCTTTAAGGCACAGTTCATTTGCAATAGAAGCAGTTTGTCCTCTATTTTCGCAATTTGTCTGTGTTGCCATGGCTGCACATTTGCTCTAATCCTCCATTAGTAGTTATTGCTCATTTCCAGCCTCGTACCATGGACTTGGTACATTCCCAGCCGGCTCGCCGGCATCGTCAGTCAGTCTTGCTACGCTTAGCATAAAAGCAGCAAGTGAAGTTGATCTGTTCACCAACTTTTTTCTCATTCATATTATCATTTATTTTTCAATCATTAATCATTGTCTATGATGCATCGCTTATGGATACCATAATTGCATGTTGATTGTCGGAAGGATCAGGCTATCTTTCACAACATCTGTCCAGTCGAAATGGCCCAAGGCCCCAACAATCATTGCTCTGCAATGTCACTTTTGTGCAGCAACGTCGCCTGGTGAATGTTTCTTTCACATTCACGAGCATTTAGTTGCATGTGTGGCTGTATTTTTGTCACCATCAGCATAATCTACTGTTTCTGCCTGCACGTCACTCTCCAGCCAACTCCGGCCGTTTTAAGTGACATGCTTCTAGAATCTCTTGAGCTCACTTTCATTTTCCATTATTCACAAAGTATTCCCGTACCTTTCTTTCGGTCGGTCGGTCGGTCATCTTCATTTTCATGCTTTAATCACTGCTACAGTGGACAGGATTTATATGGTTGCTACGGCCGCCCTCAATGTCGGTGTGTTCGGTGGAAAGGTAGCAGGAAACGCATTACTTGAAGTCCGATGCATTTAGCCTCCCACCAAGAGCAACTATGCGTCTTGGCTACACTTTGAAATCTGCATTTTTGTGTTATTTCATTCACATCCTCGCTTCTTCACTCTTACCACCTTCGCCCTATCACATCACACAAACGACATGATCACCTTTCCATTACTGAATTCGGCTTATCTAAACTACAATATACTTTTATTCAATATCTTAAAATATTTAAAAAAAACATTTTGATAGAAGTAGGTCTGTCTTTACAGTATTTTCAGTATTGGCCTGTTTTCTGGTTGATTGCCTGACTGAATTGTCCATTACAAAAAGGAAAAGAGAAAGCTCTTCCAATTCTAGCATCGTCTTCTCCCATTGCCGATCTAAGGATAACATTCGGTAAGGTTTAACCGCGCATACAATTGGCTCAGAATCGTATCCATGGTTGTAACTCGCGAATCTGATCACACCCAGTGAAACATCGATAAACTACAGGCGAGGACTGCATCTTACAAGTTGCAGTGGTGAGTCTGTATAGCACTAATTTATGGCCGATGATACGTATTGTTGCGTTTAATTAAATTAATTAATTAATATTTTATTCTTCCAACTTATCTTCTCATTGCAATTTGAGCGGTAGCACTTTTTTTTGTTCGGCAACTTTACGCAGTAGAGACTAAAATGGAGCTTAAACAAACTAGAAAACAAGATATACATTAAAATATCTATGAGTTGTATTTGGCCAATTTCTCGTAGGGTGATAAGCAAACTGTTAGTTGAATTTGCCCATCATGCTATGAAGGGAAACGATGCTTTTATTGTATTTCACAAATTTGTTCTCATCCAGCGTGGACTGTCAGTACCTCTGGTGGGACTCGAACCATGAGTCTGTCGCGTATGATCTCTACATTTTAACCACTACGCCACTGCCGCCGGCTATCTTGGGCCATAGGGCTTGTGTGCATTTCTCGATGAAGCAAAGTTGTAAATGGATTACGTTATTTATTTTTCGCGTATAATTAGGTTTTCGAGGGTGCCAGTAGAGCATATATCTGAGATGTATCCATCCTACCTTGTGTCGAGTGATAAGAGGACTGGTAGTTCAATTTTCCCACAATGCTATGAGTAGACATGATGTTTTCATTAAATTTCACATGACAAGCATCGCATGTATATGATCTACTGGCAGTCTCTAAAGCCTAATTACAAACGAAAATAAGTATCGTAA